CTGGTACCTGTATCAAGGAAAGCAAGCAATTTCTGGAAACTGTCAGATTACACCTGGTTATCTAGAACAGTGTCACATGGCCACTGCCAGCTGCAAGGCAAATTGGGAAAGCAAGTCGTTCTATCAGGGCCCATTGTGCCCTTAACAAAACTAGGCTTTTGATGGCAAGAAGAAGGAGAAACTGGATAGGAAATTGGGTAGGCATCTAGCAGTGTCTGCTAGGAAAAAAAAGAAGCAAGCCAAGAAATGGCAGAAATAGCTATTAATACATCCAGCTTAATTAAAAAATTTATTACATGGTTTCCATTTACACCAGTGCTGGAGAAAACTTCACCCATAGTCTGCGAACTCTTGCTTGAGGGCCCTTTGTTTATTTACTTATTTAACAGACACTCTCAAAACATGAATTCTGTGTTGGGTACAGCTCAGAGCACAGCGTGGATACGAGCTCATCTTATCCATACAACAGTTCTGTGTCTGTCTCAGTTACTGCGGCCAGAACTGTGTCCACAATTTGAACATCCACACCCATGTCCACATAAATCCACATCCTGGATTATTCATAGCTGACATTCAACTGAGCATGTAAAACAAGAACTATGATTATTTGCATATTACAGGTGCAGAAACTCAGGCACAGAGTGGCTAAGTAACCCACCCAAGGTCAAAGAGCTCAAAGCAGGTGGAGCCAGGATTCCAACTCAGGTTGCCTGACTCTAACCCCTCCGCTGTGCAGCAATACATGAAAAACACATAGTAGGTGCTTAAGAAGTTGAGTTCCTTTTCTGAGATGGGGCCTGAGCCTAAGATACAAGAAAGGGTAGATGAAGAGAATTAGAATGGCTCAGCGAAACAATCTCTCTAGAGCTTCCCAGCCTCCCATCCTCCAAGGCCTATCAGGACATACATCTAGTGACACGTTACAGGTTCTGATATTGGTCTCTGGGGTCACCACAACTCTTGCTCAAGATTCTTTCCTGGACCCTTATCTGCTCTAAAACTCATTGGCCATCTTCCTGCCATACCTCCCTTAACCACAACCCATCTTCAAGGCTGGTGGCTGTCCTGGACAGACAGACAACAGAGACAGAGAGAGCTCCCTTGGCTTGACCCACGCCCTCGGACACAGGACACGGTGACACGGGATGGGAATTTGGTGGGAAGGGCCTCAGGAAGCTCAGAGGGTGGGAGCTTGGGGACAAGAACAGCTGAGGTACCATGGGGGTGTACAAGAAGGAGGTGGCAAAAGAGATGGAAAGTTCTGGGACACCTCCTCCAGATGATGAAACTTCTCATGCCACTCGTCAGCCCCACCAGGGAAGAGATTTTTTACTATTTTGACTATTTTCATCACTGTTGTATCCCCAATACTGAGGAGTGTATCTGGCAGACAGTATGGGTTCAACGCATATTTTTAGACTACATGAATTGAACTCATCCTCCAGGGGGAAAAGGGGAGACTGTCCTCCTTAACCAATCATTTGTCAATTATGTATTGAATGCCTACTGTGTGCTGGGGGCTGGTGAACAAGCCACATAGCGGCCTTGCCTCTATGGAGCTCAGAGTCTAGCGGGAGAGATGAGTGTGAATCAGGTCATCTAATGAACTCAGGTCTTAACTGCTGCCTGTCACAATCCTTTCGTAGGTGAGAAGCTTCTACAGGAGAGTGTTTCAGTCAAGGTGGTCAGGGAAGGCTTTCGGGGAGAAAGGAAAATTTTTACTTAGATCTCAAGAATAAGTTGTTTTAGAGAGCAGAGGGAAAGGAAGGGTGTTCCAGACAGAGGGAGCAGCATGTGCAAAGGCCCTGGGGCAAGGGAAACAAGAGCAGGGAAGCTGGAATGCAATGATTGAGGGGGAGTGAGGTGCCAGAGAAGTCTAGAGGGGTGGGCAAAGGCCCCACCATGCCTGCATTGCTCAACTGGATTATTGCAGCAACCTCCTCATTGGGCTCTTGTTTCCATCTTAATCCCCTTTAGTCTCAACCCAGAAGCTATAGTGATTGTAGCTAAGTCAGAGCCTGTCCCTCCTCTTGTCAAGAGTCTCCTGTAGCATCTACTTCATTCAGAGTAAAAGCTGAGGGGAGTCCTCATTGTGATCCACAAAATCCTGCACAATCTGCTTCTATTCCTTGTCTTACCTCACCTCTAACCCCTCCCCCATCATTCATTCTGCTCCAGCCACACTGGCCTCCTCATTGTTCCTCGGACATACCTCAGGACCTCTGCACAAGCTGCTACTGCTGCCTGCAGTCCTCTTCCTTCAGATATTTACATGGCTCACTTCCTCACCTCCTTCAAATCTTTGCTCAAATATCACATTTTTAAATGTTTTCTTGCCCTCTTCATACTATAAACCCCTTTCTGCCTCATCCCCCACATTCTCAATCCACCTTACCTTGATTTTAAAACACTTCTGATGATCTTCATTCTTTCCTGTGTAGATGTTACCATTTGGTGTCATTTCTTCAGCTTAAAGAACTTCCTTTAGCAATTCTTGTGGTCTGTAGGCAATAAATTATCTCAGATTTGGTTTATCTGAAAATGTCTTTATTTCACCTTCTCTTTGAAGGATATTTTTACAGGTTACAGAATTCTGGATTGACAGATTTTTTTTTCTTCTATTGGCACCTTAAAGATACTGTTCCATTGTCTTATGAGTTCCCCACCACTGTGATGAGAAATCAGCCAATATTGATATCATTGTTCTCTTGTATACAATGTGTCATTATTCTCTGGCTGCTTTCAAAATTGTCTCTTTATATTTTAAATTTCAGCAATTTGACTATGACGTGCCTGGGTGTGATTTTCTTGTATTTATCTTGCTTAGAGTTTACTGAAATACTTGGAACTGTAACTTAATGTCTTTCACCAAATGCAATAAATTTGGAACCATTATTTCTGCAAATACTTTTCTGTCCCATTCTCATTTCCTCTCCTTCTGAAACTCCAATTACTTGAAGGGTTGACTGCCTGATATTTATTATTCCACATGTCTCTGAGGTCCTATTCATTTGTCTTTAATATTTTTTCTCTCTGTTCTTCAGGTTAGATGATTTCTATTGACTTGTCTTCATATTCACAGATTTTATTTCCAACATCCTTTGAAGTCCAGCCAGTGAAATTTTCATTTCAATTGTATTTTTCAGCTCTAGAATTTCCAATTGACTTTTCTTTTTAGTTTCTGTTTCCTAGTAAGATCCCCCAACTGTTGCTGTTGTTGTTTTTTTGTTTTTGTTTTTGTTTTTTAGCTGAGCCATCCTGCCACCTGTTGGCAGCTCAGAGGCAGCTCACTCAGGCTGGGACTTGAACTGCTGTTGCTCAGAGCTTGCACTCTTGAGCGAGCTCTTAACCAACTGAGCCACTCGGCCGCCCCCCTTCACAACTGCTTTTGAATTATGCAATTCTTCTCCTTTAAGTCTTTGAAAATATTTGTATTAGGTGCTTTAACATCTTTGCATATTGCAATATCGATATTATCTTGGAGGTGTTATCTTGGCTTCTATTAACTTTGTTTCCTTTGTTGAATATGGTTCATACATTCCTTTTACTTCACGTGTGTAATGATTTTTAGCTGGATCCTTACAATTATGCATGATACACTGTAGAGACTCTGCGTTGTGTTATATTTCTCTGAAGAGTGATTCTTTTTTTTTTTAATTTTATTGGGGAATTGGGGAAGGGGAACAGACAAGTTGCTGTCCTTTTGTTCTTCAGTCTAGTTGTGGAGGACATCGCTTCACTGGCCCATGTTCGTATTATCATTGTGCTCTTCCCGGGTGAGGCATATCGGTCGCTGGCCACTGGATGACTGCTCACGGTGGCTCCTGGCAGCTCCCGGCAGCCCAGCTCCAGGTCAAGCTGTTGTTCACCATCTTAGCTGTAGAGGGCACAGTGTCGCTGGCCCTCATGGGGGATCTGAACCCGGGCCCTGCTGTTCAGAGCTGGCATCCCAAGCCAACTCTTAACCAACGCACCACTTGGCCAGCCCTGAAGAATGATTCTTGTTCTAGCAGGCAGTTACGTTGGCTGAACTCAAACTCCTAACTCTGTGTGCTCTGTGGTGGGCAGCAGCTGAAATCTCTGCTCAGTTCTTTCAAATTTCAGTTGTTGCTTTTTTCACGTGAAAAATTTAGTCAGCCAAGGTTTCGGATGGATATTTTTATATGCAGATTCTAGAGTTTACCGTCACTGGGGTTCTCTTCCTTCCACAATTCCTTCCTTCCTCACTATCTTTCTGGCTGCTCTGTCAGCTCCTAACTCTGTCATCTCACATCTTAAGCCAGGGAGGAGGCAGCAATCACATAGCACCCACACAGAAAATATGCAAACTCACAACTCTTACCCCCACCAAGGGTAGACTCTCCCTCAGTATATGCTTGAGTTTGCTCACTCTCCAATATCTTTGCAAAGTAGAGTGATTTTTACTATTTTGTCCAGATTTTATGCTTTTTTTATCTGTAAGACTATTTGTCTGACAAAACTACTTTGATATTACCAAAAATCAGAAGCCACTCTTTAAATTTTTATTTTTTCCCACAGTACTTGTAATCTTGTAAAGTAGTATATTATGAATGTATTTCTTATATGTATTATATTTCCCATCTGACATACCCCACTAGGATGTAAGTTCCATGAGGGCCTGTTATGTTAAATGACTTATTTGTAGTACCTAGAGTAGTATCACAATGACATACTAAGTGCTCAATAAAAATGTATTAAATGGAGAAATAAATAAAGGGGCCTTAGAAGGGACCATGGGCTCTGAAAGGCAGTGGCTCTGTAACCTGTGGCTCTGACATGTGGTCTTTCCTGTTCTAGAAAGATGAACTCAACTTCTGCTCCCAAATGCCTACCTGAAGAGGTGGGATGCCTCCGCTGGCTGACCGTAGGAATCTTGTCTGTGTCCTTTGTGGTTGGCATAGTGGTCAATGGGCTGGTGCTCTGGATGACTGTTTTCCGCATGACCCGCACTGTCAACACCATCTGGTTCTTCAACCTGGCCCTTGCCGACTTCACCGTCCTACTGTCTCTTCCCATCCCAATATACACCCTGGCCATTGGCGAGTGGTTGCTCAAAGACTTGGTCTGCAAGCTGTACCTGGCCTTACTGACTCTCACCTTCTTTACCAGCATCTGCCTCCTGGTCCTGATCTCTGTGGACCGTTGTATCTCTGTCCTCTACCCTATCTGGGCCCGAAATCACCGCACCGTGCGGCGAGCAAGGTGGCTGACTGTTGGTGTGTGGCTCCTGGCTGCCATCACTTGCTATCCATCCCTGAAATTCCGAACTACTGGAAAATTGAAAGGATGCATGCGCTGCTACTTCAAGTTCAACATAGGGAATGAAGGGGGAAAGAACTCCCAGGATTGGAATCGAACGGAGAGGCAAATGGTGGTCACCATCCTTCACTTCCTGGTGGGCTTCCTGGTGCCCTTGGCAATCATCAGCACCTGTGCCTACCTCATCCGTGCCAAGATCCAGCGGGAGGGTTGGGTCCAGGCCAGGCGGCCGAAGAGGTTGCTGTTGGTGTTAGTAAGCGCCTTCTTTATCTTCTGGTTCCCGTTTAACATGGCACTTTTGGTCCAACTGGAGCTAGAGAAATATCATGACCCTAAGATGCTCCTCATCCTCTGGGCTACCTTCTCCTTGGGCTGTCTCAACAGCTGCCTCAACCCTTTCCTCTACGTCTTTATTGGCCGAGACTTCAAGGAAAAGTTTTTCCAGTCTCTGCCTTCTGCCCTGGCCAGGGCATTTGGTGAGGAGGGTTTTCTCAATCACCCTGTCCCTGAGGTGAAGCCCCCAGGGGGTGATGGAAATCTTAAAGTGGAAGCTGAAAACCCTCCTGCTTAGTTTGCAGCCTTTCCCTAGTCTGGCTTCCAAGACCCTTCCAAATCCTGACTCTTCTTTCAAGAAGCCTTCCCAGCAACTCTTCATCTAAATCTCTGCATGAAAGATATCTGGTTATTTCCTGGTATCCATTCTACTCTTCCTTTATAGCAAGACTTCTAATTGTTTTAAACTGCGACCACGGTTAGCCAGAAAAAAAAGACTACATTTCCCAGTGTCCTTTGCAACCAGGTATGGCCTTGTGACTACTTTCTGGCCAATAGGATGTGAGTGGAAGTAATCGATGTAACGTCTTTGAAGTGCCCTTGAGTGGGAGAGTCCTGCCCTATATTCTTCCCCTTACCATGGTCTAGAATATAAATGTATCAATTAGTTTTTGCTGCATAACTAAACCCCCAAAACTTAGAGGCTTAAAACCATAACCTTTTATGATTTCTGTGGGTCAGCAATTTGGGCTGGGCTCAGCTGAGCAGTTTCTGGTTTTGGCTGGGCTTCCTCATGTGGTCAGCTTAGTACTTCCGAGAGGGGTGGCTGGCTTTCAGTTGGGATGACAGGCTTGACTGAGCCATGTCGCTCTCATCGTCCTGTAAGCTGACTGGGAGAGTTTCCAAGAGCAAGAGGGGAAGTGTGAGATGTAGACCCTGACCCTTTGCACAATGTGACTAGGTTCAATGGGTAACGGAATAGATTCCACCTCTCAATGGGAAACTCTGAGAAGTGACATTGCAAAGGAACATAGATACAGGAAGCCATGCGGAACTGGTGCCATTTTTCCAATCTGCCATAGCATTTGCGGTGGTGAGTCATATGGAAAGCAACTATGTCCCCATCCTTGCTCTGGAATGCATATACCCAGGCTATGAAACGACAGTTTTCAATTTTAGCTCATTGAAGCCACTGTATTTTGTATCTCTGTTATGGCTGCTGAATCTATACCTTAACTATCATGCCGCCAAACACTGGAACTTGTGTGAAGCGACATAATAAATTTCCTTGTTGTTGAAGCCATTTGGAGTCGGGTTTTCTGTTGCTTGAAACCCATAGTTGCCCTACTGATCCGTTCAATAACCACTCCTTTCCAGACACAGAAATCCTAGTGGCCCTTGGACACAGTGGACCATTCCCTTGGTTCTAGGTAGAGGCAAAACTTTTTTTCATCCAAGCCAAAAGCTTGTTACTTGTTCACAATCGGAAGAGGCAGCTCTGGTCCTGCTCTGATTAGCTGTGAGACCTCCCCTCTCAGAACCTCTGTTCTCTCAACTCTGTATAATAGCACCAAATGCCTTTGTATTTCGTGGATGAAAGGTATTAGGAAGGATAGAGATGCCCTAAAAAATAAGTTGGGAAAAGGGGTTTATTCAAAAACAAAACTTAAAAATAATGTAGGCACGTGGTAAAAAGAAAATGATCTTCTAGATCCTCCATTCCAACTTGTTCCCAGTAGAAACTGTTTATTGTGTATCCTTCCATCATCCTATATCGAGAGAGAGAGAGAGAGAGAGAGAGAGAGAGAGAGAGAGAGAGAGAGAGAATTTCACCAATCCCTTACTGATGAGAATTTAGGTTGCTTTTGAATCAGCTACACTGATATTTTTGAAACTTAAAAATCTTTCAGTAGAACCCACATCCCAAACAACACAAACACGAAGTGGAGGAATTCATTGATTTATCAGAGTGAACACTCATGCAACTTAGCCAGGTCATGGACTAGAACACTGCCAGCCACCCAACACTTCCTTATCTCTTCCTCCAAAGATAACCTCTATCCTAAATTTTACTGTGAACCTTTTTTTGCCTTGCCTTTTTTCCTCTCAAAAGTTTCATATGAAACATTTTAAAGTCACAGTTAAAAGAATAATACAATATGCCTTTCAATTAAATTTATCAAATGTTGATATTTGCCCATCCCCATAACCCATATATTTAGCCTCTTCTCTCTCTCCCTCTCCCTCTCTCTCCTTTTTTCTTTCTCCTTATCTGCATATCTCTCTATTGTTATGTGTCTCTTTTTCTGTCTCTGTCAATCTCGTGGTCAGGAGCACCTCTAGAAAATTTTGAACCTTTTGAAAGCAGGTGTAAACATCATATTCAACATGATTCAATTCTTTAATCTGTATCTCATAAGAACTAGGCCATTTCTCCTGCACAACCATAATATTATTACCACTCTCAAGAACTTTAACATTGATATTATCTAATAAACAGTCTATATTCAAATTTCCTAGTTGTCCCAATAATGAACTCTATAGCACTTTTAAAATATCAGGAGTCTGCAATGATATTCTTCTCCCCACCCCCACCCCCCCCAAATGGACTGTGTTATTAGATCAAACACCATACAGGTTGATGCCCTAAAGCAGAAGTAACACAGGCCACATTCAAAACAAGAAATTAACAAAGGATAACTGAAAACACTCAGATTGCCTTGGACATTTCAAAACACCCTTCTAAGTAACTCCTGGGTTATACGATAGAATAAAACTGAAGAGCAATTTATTCAGAAATGAGCACACTGCACATTAAAACTTGTGAGGTGGGGCCAAAGCTGGGGAAATGGTAAAGCTTTAAATGCTAATTGGGGCGGGGGGGGGCGGGGGGGGAGTCAGACAGGGGATGAGCAAAACAAACAATTCAAGAGGCTAGAAAAAGAACAATAAAATAAATGCACTAAAAGCTGCACCAAAGCATTGATAGATGTATCACTGAGGCAACTGATGAAAAAGAAAAAGTGGATAATGAGAAGAAGCTAGTTCTGTCTCTTTGTGTCTCCAACAATAATACCCTTTTATATTTGTACTGGTGTCCTTTGGTGAATACTCCAAGAAGGCAAAATGGCAGGACAGCCGTTTATAGCTGGGTGATACCAGTCAAGTTGCTTCCATTCTTTATGCCTCAGTTTCCACCTATGTAAAATAGGATAACAATTGTACCTCTCTTAGAGTGGCTGTGCTGATTCCGTGCGTTATTGCTGGCACCGCAAAGGTTTGATGTAAATGTTTGCGATTATTGATATTCTCACCTGTTAGATTCCTCCTCGGGGACTGGCAGTCAGAGGGCGTGTTCCGTCACGTTGCCAGACTCCATCACAGGCGGGCTCCGCAAGGCTGTTTCCCACGCTTCGCCATGGCAACCGCGCTGTCAATCTCCTTTATCTTCCCCGGGGAGAATAGTGGGATCCCGGTGAGGTTTTAAATTTTCATTGATTTTCTAATGAATGCAGTTAAGCAGTCTTTCCAGGAGACTCTGCGTTTTTTTTTTGAGCGGGCTGCAGGATTCTCCAGCAGATCGCGGTGGGAGCGGACACGGTGGGTAAGTGGGTTTTGAGACCCAGCCCAGACCCGGCGCAGCATCTGGGCGTGGCTCAGCGAGGGAATCCGCATTTCCTTGGGCAGCCTCCAGGAGAGAGGGTTGTGACAGATGCCCTAAGCCTCGGATTCTTACTGTGCCAAACAGGGACTTAAAATCCATCTCTAATAAGATTTCTATGAGCAACTCAAGAAGGCGATTCAGTCCTCCGGTCATCAAACCAGGACCGCTCGCAAGGTGTGGATCGCGTCCTGTGCACCAGATCCTGTCCGGAGCCTTATCAACGTGTGGACCCCCAAAAGTGGCATCTCATGATTATGCTCATTGTGCAGATGAGAAAATCGAAGTTCAAAGAGGTTCTTACCAAAGGTCACACAGCGCGTAAGTGGGAGTCATGACTTGAAGGGTCTGACTCCACTTATCCATTCAGTCATGGTTATTGAGTGCTTGTCAGGTGACCGGGCTGGGCTCTAGGCACTAGAGATAGAAAGGTGGGGACAGAGGTCCCTTACCTTGGAGAGACTGGCATTCGAGGGGGAGGGGCTGACATCTCAGGGGGAGGGGCTGACATGCCTTATCCTTCAGAGCCTACAGCCTCCACCTCCACGCCATACTCTGTCCCTAAAAGTATTGACCGAGTCTTTAGTAAGTACAAATCTCTGCCATCCCCTGGGAGTCGCGCGTGCCTGACAAGAACTCAGCCTCTACCCTCACAGAATTCGCAGCCTGAGGGAGACAGCCCTGAACTAACGATCCCACAGGAAGATATTTACCTCCCAGGCAGGAGGGAGGAAGTTACGCTCTTAATCACTACCTCTGTTTCTCTCAGCAACGAGAGAGGGGAGGCGGAGCCCCAATCTGGCCGAGTTTGAGCTGCTCCCAGCCGTGGGAGACAGACTGTCATCAAAGTCGGAAAACAGCTGTCATGAGACGCCTCACCCCATGACATCTGACACCTTTCCTTGCAACCTGAAACCCCGCACTCAGCTGCAAAATCGAAAGTTCTGTGCCTGTTGACTGAGCACCCACTGCTTTCTGATCCTCAGGAGCCCTGCTGGGGAAGAGACTTAACCTACCTGCCCGAGGCCCAGGTTCTAGCCAGAGTCAGGATGTCAGGGGTGGATTCCATCTCGGGACCGTGACTTACTTGTGTGCTCTGGGTCTCCTGGTTCTCATTCTTGTTCGTGTGAAATAAAATGAAGACTGGGCAATGTGACAACCTGACACCCTTGTCTGTTTCGTTTGCTTCTGTGTCCCCCACTCCTGGGACATGGCCTGTGGGGAATGATGTGTCTCACCCTGTTGGGCTCATGCTGACCGAGACCTGGGTGTATGGAGTACTCATGATTCACTCATTTGAAAATGGGGGCTTCCCATGTGCCTCCTTGTGTGGTAGAGGATTCTGGGGACCCCAAAGGAACCAGACCAGGACCCTGATCTCAAGGAGTCCACAGAGATGGACACAGACAACGAGCAACCAAGGTGTTCATGGCTGTGACAGAGCAGGTATCAGATATGTGGGGCCCAGAGCTCAACGGGGAAGTGGTGGGAGGTGGAATTGGGGGCTTTGATGGGCCCAGTGCAAGGCCAGGCTGAGGAGCTGGGACTTTGTCCAGGGGCACTGGGGAGCCATGCGTGTGTGGGGGGGGCGGGGGGC